CTCGCTGTATGGCACGGAAGACAACGCACTGTGGGAGGCGGCCAGCGACACTCTCGTCTTCAGAAGACAGTGGTGCTTCGTCTGACGAATAAGATCAGTTGCGATGGTGGTGGAGGGGAGCTCTGACAATAGGGGTGCGGTGCGCCCAATTCGCAAATAAATGTCGTTCGGCAATTTTGCGTTGTTTTCTTTTTTTTTCTTTTTCGGTAACCTGAACTTGGGGAGTCGGATCTATATTCCCACTCGACCTATAGTCCAGTTTAGACGGTAGTATTGTGGGGTCTCGAAATGGAGAGCCACGCTCTTAGAGTGAACGGACACAATTGAAGCGGTCGGAATCAATCAAAACAACACACATTTATTTACCTACTTTTAGAAAGACTACATCGTCATCCGAATTAATATATAAATTGTGATCAAAATTATAAACAGCCTTACACAAAATTACACAACACTCAAAAACATTACAAACACAAGAACACACACAAGGCAGCTTCGCCAGCACTTGACTCGCCACGGGGGCCCCAGGAAGACAACCTGCGGTGCCGCGCACCGGGGTCCCACTGCGCGAGAAATGACCGCTCCATTCTTGGGCATTAACTAGTTTTTAGTAACCCATTACTCATCACTAGTTACCTTTTTCAGTAACTTGTAACTGTAACACTATTACTTTTTTACTGAGTTACTGTAATGAAAAATACAGTTAGTTACTTCTGTTTTTGTAAAAAATTATCCAGCAGCCACACTCATTAAAGGCCGACATTACACACTTTCTATTTTTTCAACTTTCTTCTTTACAATATCCTCTCCACCTTTCGCTTTCGACTTTCCACAGCTCCCATTGCAGTTTAAGAGCACAGGTTGCTAAGAGGTATATCTTCCCTGAAGAAGACTGAGTTCGGAGTTTGCTTGTATACTACATGTCTAAAGGTAAACATATTTGACAAGGACCTGCGCCTGGCTGGTTTGAAGTGAAGTGTGTCTGGAAGGTACGTTTATTCGTAAAATTACATGTTGTACATCAATAATGTTGCCACTGAACACCTTGCCAAGTTCACGTGCCCACCCCCACCCCCCCTCCCCGGCTTTTTTTTTGATGGGCGGGGAGGTGGGAAGGAGAATATCTCTATCCTTTTTTTCACTTGAGCTTCTATCCCTTTTCTTGGTATGCCAGGGGAGCATTAACAGCAGCGTGAAACTGCTGAAAGCCTGAAGCATTTAAAACGGGTTTGTAACTTATTGTGAAAGCTCTACTTTGAGTTAACACAACAATTATTACAAAGTAATTGATGTTGTGCCTCTTATGCAGGTGGTATTCTCAGTAGACTCTGGCAAAAAAATAATAAGTGGAGGTCAATTAGTTCATTAGTCACACATGTCCTAGCAAACATTCGTTAGGGAGCTGTGGATTGCTGTGGCAAGCCGGTGCGTCCTATCGAATGAACCACGTTTCCTGAAACCTCCCCCCACCCACACGCACACATTGTTTAGGTCAAAACTATGGCCTTGTGGAGCATCTTTCTAGAGTTTCATTACATGCAACTTTCACTGCCTGCATGCCTTTCTGCGTCTTTATTAACTAAAATGTATCATTTGTTTTGTAATTTTTATACAGTAATAGAAAAGCAATGACGTTACTTTTTTTACTGTAATTGTAACAAATTACTTTTAGAAAATCGGTAACTAGTCATATAGTGGTTTTGGGACGTTAAACCCCAGATATCAAAATCGGTAACTATAACTGTAACAGAGTTACTTTTACTGGTAACGTGCCCATGACTAGCTCCAACCGCCACGTGCCAAAAAGAGCCACTCATTTCTTTCGTGCCACCACTAAGGCTTGCCGCGAGGCATCACTGCCAGCACCAGCGCACTAACCATGATGATGACGATGATGGTAACAACTGCTCGTGACCACAGTTTCGCCTACCGCTCGATGGTTGTGACCCCTGAATTCGGCTTTTGTGCGGGACACATGTGCCACGAGGCGCGAACAGCTTTACAGGGGGTGCTAGCACCCTCACAGTGTGAAATCTAACTCACAAGAGTGGAAACTTGGGCTAGTTGGTGCGTAGTCATATTTGCAAGATGTTTCAGCGCGCGAACAAAGTAAAAAGGACAGGGTTCTGTCTACCCTGTCCTTTTTCCTTTGTTCGCGCGCTGAAACATCTTGCAAGTGTGAAATCTCTTTCGTTCTTACTTTTGCCATTAGGGCTCCTCCATGTCCATTTACGGTTCACTCGTTTTCGACAGAAGGTAATTAGGATCCATAAATTATTGCATTCTGCAAATTTTGCTAATAACTCCCTTCTGGAATTTCTAGTCTCGATGCCATAATCCCTTACTACCTGGTCTCCAGCCTGCTTCTTCCCTGCCTTGGCTTTGAAGTCACCCATCAGTATAGTATATACTGTGTTTTTACCTTACTCATTGCTGATTCGAGGTCTTGATAGAACCTTTCAAATAATACAACTAATACTGGCTGAGGCTAATCTGAAGCACACTTTAGAGAGGAATAAAATCGCAAGATTGTTTTATGTTTAATATAGTTAAAGGTCATCTTAATGGCAGTATATCCACTTATGGGCATTTCTCAATAGGTTACGATACCAGACCCCGACGTTGTTATTCAATCACTCTATATTAAATGGATATATATTAAGTATTCTTTTTTCTGCGAACGATCATGAAGTGGAATGCCCTAGATACATTCATTGTTGAAACCAACTGTATAGAATTGTTCGACTCTTTACTTGCCAGTTGATCATGTAAAGTTCTATTCTTATGCATTACATGCCTATCACCTTATATTTCAACTTGAATGGGTGGTCTGTTTTTGTTTTTGGTCTTTTTTTTTCTTTTGCTTTGTTTTATCAATATACATTGTGCTCCTGTTTTGCTTCACAAATTGCGTTAGTTCTTCGCTTTATATTGTCATTTTTTCACTACTGTTTTCTCTAAAATGTTCTATGCATCATTATTAGACTTGTGCGAATATTCGAATGCTTTAAATATTAAAATGGATAGTAGACTATACAAATTAGCTTTGATTCAAATTTTAATTATTGAATATTTTGAAGTATTCAATATGAATGAATAGGTCTATATTAATCCCCATGTAATTGCTTGTAAGGATGGTTTCACTGCAGTTTAATTGTACTAAGCAGTGAAAGCACCTATTCAAAATAAATTTGCTTTGTCGCGAAGCCCCACTCCAAATTTAAATGGGCCCTGCAACACTTTTTGAGCATAGTTAGCAATCCATAATTGAGGCTACTGAGAATATGCGAGCTAAATATAGTGCAGCACGCGACCTGGAATTCACAATAAATTATCAAAGTCAGATAAAAATTGCTGTCTTCTCTCGGCTAAGTCAGATAAAATTGCTGTCTTTGTCGGGACGAGAGAAGAGGGAATTCAATTGCAGCCTGCGATGAATCTTTGTAACTCCACTCGCACTAGACAGATTTTTAAAATTTTTGCGCCGTTTAATTCGTGAGGCACTAATCTCTTCTAGAAAGTTCATTCTATGGTTACTTGAAAAAGTGTTTCAGGGCCCCTTTAAAAGTTTGCTTTGCCGGCTAATACACTTTAATGAATAATGTTATGTATTTTACAGGTTATCACTTGCATCCTACTGAAAGTTAAATCCTGCTACTTCACAAAGTTCCGGTTTCCTTTGAATGGAAAAAAAAAATAAAGGAAGCTCTTGCATAGAGGCCATGTTTCAAAATAAATTTTTTTGTGCGCATTAGTTAGGTTATGATAAATATGTCCATTTTTCTTTATATGTGATATATTCTATTCGAATTCGATTCGAAATTATTCGACCAAAATCACTATTTGCTTCGAATTCACTTCAAGTTTGTTTCATATTTGCTTTGAACCTAAAATTCACTATTCGCACAAGCCTAGTCATTATTGATTGTAACTCCACTCTGCAACAACTCCGCTCAGAGTTAGTAGTATTGTCAAATAATAATAATTCGTCATTATGGCTGCATGTAGGTGTGTAGGCCTGTACCACCTTCATCTTGTATCCATTATTAAGTTTACAATACCTTCCACCCTTTCATTAATGCTGTAGTATTCCTTCGTCTTACCAGCTACATTTCTGTGAATAAGGAACCCTACGCCCAGTTCTCTTCTGTCAGCCAAGCCACGATAGCAAAGAACATGCCCATACTGTAGCACTGTATAGGCCTCATCTGTCGGCCTAACCTCACTGAGCCCTATTACATTCCATTTAACACCCTCTAGTTCCTTGAATAGTACGACTAGACTTTCCTCACTAGATAAGGTTCTAGCGTTAAACGTTGCCAAGTTCAGGTTCCAATGGTTGCCTGTCCAGATCCAGAGATTCTTGGCACCGTCTGCTGTCGCTGTGGTCAGTTGCTTCGCAGCCGCTGGCGACTGAGGGTCGAGGCTTAATTGGCGTATCTATGTGGGAGATAGTGACAATCCTTCTCTGGTGAGGAAGTGCGTTCCGGGGGGTGATCACCGGTGAGGCTGCACCCCAAGCCTCTTTAATCATCACGCAGAAATTTTTTTTTATTCCGGTGGGGAATGGCACAGCATCGGAATTCGAACCACGGACCTCTTGCATGCGAGGTTGATACTCTAATCGCAACACCATTGCTGCATTTTTACATGCCAAACCAAACCATGGGTGGTAGAGCAGTGTTGCATTCTCCTAGGAGAGGCTACTTGGCACTTTCAGCTGTAAGCAAAGTTCAAGGGTACATTTATTGCAATTAGAGGCACATGGTGGATTCGAGAAAGCTTGAGTCAGGTGACCAAGCAAATGAAGATCTCTTGGGGCGACTGGCAGAAGCAGAACCCAGAGATGTAGGCAAAGAAAGGCTTGTTTTAGTAGTGCTGCTCGGATATTATGACCTTGTGCTGTTTGTGGAACAACTGGTACAATTAAGTTCTGCAGTTTTCATTTGGCTTATGTATTGGTTTCTGGTTATGTTTGTTATTGTTATTGTGCTTTGCAGGCCTTTCACACTGCAGCGTACAAGGCAGAAGATCGACGTGACCTTCTGAGAGCAATCAACGAGTTCCTGGATGATAGCGTCGTTCTTCCACCCGGTGACTGGGACAGGAAGTCTCTGCTGCCTGTAGATGACCTCAAGAAGAAGTATGAGGATATCCGCAAGCGCAAGATGCAGGCAAAGAAGCCGGCTCCCCGTTAGTCTGTTTTGGAATTGCTTCAAGGCAGCAAGCACCTGTGTGAGAGTGCCTGTGTGCTAATGCTCTTGGGGGTTCGCCTACTCCTGTCGACTTCCTCCTGCAGAAGCAGAGAAACTAGCACTGTCTAAGGACATGTGGGAACTAGGTGTGCCACTCCATATACTGTGGCACTGCTTTTTGCTGTCTGCTGGGGCTCACTAAGCTGGAAGTCTTCTGCAGTCTGTGAGCTTCGTACGCATCAGTTGCAAGCAGTGAGCAAAGAATACCTATTTACGTAAACCTTGTGAAATGTTTTTATTACTAATTATTTTCTTGAGATCAAGCTTGGCTCTTGGCTTAAAATAACTTGGAGTAGGGCAAGCAGTCCTTTTGGCTTTTCACTCAGCTGAGTTTTAGTATTGTAGATAATAAAGTAATTTGAAGGGAATTATAAACAAGCACTAACACAATTTTCTTTTCTTTTGCTGTCTTACTTTTAGCTGTGGAAGACAAGGCTCCGCAGTATGATCCACTAAAGCGCAATGGCAGATTGTTTGGTGGCCTGTGCAGTGACATCAAGAATCGCTACCCTTGGTACCTCAGTGACTTCAAGGATGCCTTTAATGGCCAGTGCTTAGCTACGGCCATCTTCATTTACTTTGCTGCTTTGTCAGGAGCCGTTACTTTTGGTGGCTTGTTAGGTGAGATGCTGATAGAAAAGATTGCTTACTATTTTCCAGATATACATATGCAAACAAATGGGTCCTTTTTTTGCTGTTGTCTAAACAAATTTTACACAATAGCGTTTATCACAAACTTACTTGGAGAAGATATTTGTTTGTTGGTAGCCCTGTGGCTGCTGTAATCTTACCACTTTAAAATTCTAGTGCCCATATACAGGGTGTCCCACATGACTTTAGCCAGATTAAAAAAAAATATGCCGGAACACGTAATCATGATGCAACCAAAGGCATGTTGCTCACCATTGCCTAAAGTTAGTCAGACAATTTTTTGTGTTCTCAAATATTGTTTAATTAGATATGTTTAATTAACAAACTTTTCAAGAAACGAAGATAGATAAAAAATTTCAATGAGAAAGTTTTGTAGATCGGCTTGCAAAACCTCTGATTAGACAGTTTTGAACTTTATATCTATTAGGTATTAGTGCTTTTCTGTTAATTACAAATGCCCGTGAAATACAAAAAATACCACGTGACAAACATGCTCGTGCGCCAGTGCGCAAAATGTTTCTAGTGCTCCCCAATGTTTTGCGTACGAACGACCATAGTATTTGCCCCATTGTGCTGTCTTGGCAGGGCCACAACGATGGTGGTGGCTTTACAATGAATACGTTTTGCTATCGATCACAAAAACAATAACCGCTTTGACTGCTCATCGCTGTCATGAACCGGTGCGAGGGAAGCGTATCGTTCGTACGCCGAACGTTGGAGAGCACTAGAATCATCGTTAGCTGCAAGCTTTATTGCAGCTCGAACCAGCTGAAATACGGCCTGTTTCTAACTGGAAGCTAGTCCCTTCACATCTGAACAATCGTCACACTTCATTTTTGTAATACTTAATAATACGAGTTAGTAATATGAGTTAGTAATACAAGTCACAGTGGTACCAATGAACAGATTAAGTTTGTTCCCCTCAAGGGCATGTAGTTCTAAAGGGGCTGCTTTTCAAAAGTTCATTAAATACACCCATAATACACAAGCATAGATCTCTTACTTTTGATTAAAGATCTATTTACACTTGAAAAGGGTAATCTGCTAGTTTCGGCTTCCGCTCTAACCATTCTGGATGGAAATCCACAGGGGACCTTGATCCACACCACAGATGTCTGTATTGTCTAGGGAAGCCTAGTGATGCAGGCAACCTATAACAAAATAAAAGATTTTCTGGTCCATGCAGATCGTGACTGCAGATATCGTTAAAAAAATGCTACTTAACGCCCATTCACGGGAGGCAGTGCACGCGAGGACATTCATATCAAACGAATTAACGTTTACATCTCTACAGCGCTATTAGTTCACTCAGCAAACTAGAATTAAGCAGTGTGTTCATGCTTCATTACATAGAGACAAAGGAACATGGCTTGCAGCAACCGGTATGCATATGCGAATTCATTAACATCGCAAACACCAATGTATGGTGACAGTCAGCTTAATAGAGCACAGAAACATTCGGGATATGCACGGTTTACTTATATTTGAAATAAATATGCAACTTGCCTGCATGGAAGATCGATCGCTGAGATACACGGAGGGCCTCAATGTGCACTTACGAAATCAAGACACCGCATAGCACAGCACCAAAAACAGCTCAAATAGGCTGATATTCACTTGTTACAATATCCACAGATGAAACTGACCCAAAAGTAAACTATTACATGGTAATGTCACTCAGACTTCAGAGGAAACTTGCAACTAACACACCGAACATACAAATGCAAAGGCAGACAAGTCACGACAAGAGCACATGTGTTGTACTAAACTACAGCGCTAAGACGTCATAATAATTTATGCTTTATGTAGGACTGCTATTTTTTATGCTTTTACCTGTAAATAAATAATATAACTTTTTTATTGTGCAGTATTTGTATTATTAAGTAGGTAACTATTCAGTATTAGTTTGAGAAAACGTCAATAATAGATACGAGACTAATGCTACTGAGGAGTCAACGAGTATGGCGGCAAATTCAATGCTTGGCAATGCTGGGCGCCGTTCAAGACGTAGAAAATGCGGCATTCTTTATGGCGGCGTTAGCCTCTCTAGCAGCGTGGTAGCAGATGAGAGCAAGCTTACTGTGGTGTGATCGTAACAGAGATTGGGGAATATGGTCAAAACAAAAACTCTCTTTTCCACTAGCAATCAAGCCAATACAGAAAACCAGCAAGCACCCTACTGGTACCAGTACAGCCAGCAGGCAGTTTACTGGTCTCAGTAAAGAACCAGTAGGCACCCTGCTGGAACCAGCAGAAAACCAATGGCCACACTACTGGAACCAGTACAACCAGTGGGCAGCTTGCTGGGATCATCAGCAAGCCAGTTGGAACCCTGTTAAAACCAGTTGAAAAGCAGTAGGCACAATGTTGGAACCAGTACAACCAGCAAGAAACCAGCAGCTTAAGTGCTGGTTCCATTAAAAACCAGCAACTCCTATCGGAAAACCAGCAGAAGTTGCAGAAGTTTAATATTTTCTAATATCATGCTGAACCTGTGCTGGCACAAGTGTCTGCACTTGTCACTTTGATCAAAAATTTCCAAATGTCATGCCAAAGAGGTTTTTGAAATCTATTCATGGAATGTAAGGTATTCATAGAATGTGAGCCTACTTTTTTCCTTCTACAGAATGGGGAGCCTTCTGTGTCTTTGCAGGAAATAATACTACAAAAGTTGAGCTTTTTGAACACGCATCAGAACGTCGAACGTCTTGATGGGATAGCTCATCAAACACACACAAGGCAGGCAAAAGCTTAGGACCATCTTGTGCTAGCCTATCAAGATGTTCAGCCAATACCAAATAGCCAAAATGTTGGTTATTCTGTAGTTTTAAATCACTTTCTATAGTTGGTTTTGGTATCAAGATTTAGACCACTGTGGCAGAAAAGCATAATTAAAGGTGTGCTGACATATTTTCTGTGACCATTTTTTGCATATTTTCTACTACCATTTCCTGTATTTAATAAAGCTTGTTGAGACCACAAAATTGTAGAAAAAAAATGCTAGATCACAGGGGCCCAGAATAATATAACAGCTCTGCCACCACCATTTTATTATTTGTCTCCTGAAGGTCATACTGTCATGCCATCATGGCGGTGGCATGAGAGCTACACATTGGGATGTTTCAATGCTCGCTTTGGTTAGCTCAGAATCGTATACACTCATAAATTAACCCTCAAAATGAGTAGCATCGCGAGAGGCAAATAAGCAAGTTAGAGTAAATGTCACTGTGATGTGATTTCATTTCGCAGCATAATCTGAGAAATGAAACTGAAATAGACAGAGATAGATATGCTATGAAATTATTTGAATTACTCCCAAGGTTTCACAGTATTTGTTAACATTCAAGAAGTCTCAGAATTTTTATTTAAAATTAGAAAAAAGGAAATAAAAATTGTTGCCAGTATCTCTTTCAGCACAATATTGAAAATTATATTTTTGCTTTGTTACTTGGATTTGAGGTGCATGTTAAATAGTCTCATGAGATCGTAATACATTTATTGTCTCCCATTAGCTGTTCCTCATAATTGTATTTTTCTGTTGGCTTATAAATTCTAGAATTTAATTGAATTTAAATTAGAAGTCATCAACAGAGTTCGAATGAGGCAAGCCTTGGGCTGAAGCCAACATTATTGACAAGGTGACTGTGCCTTTGTCAAGACCCTCTGGCATGCTCACTTTTTGAAATTTTGGCTTTGAATCGGCTTGATTTATTGGCCCATTGTTCATTCTGTCTCTTTAACAGGATTAGCCCTTTCTACAATAGACTTTGCTAGTTGCACCATACATAACAAAATGACCAAGTTATGTATTGGACCTGAAAGCTGCAACCACTGTTACAACACTGCATTTTTGATGCTCAAAGAGCTGAAATGCAAAAGCTGTTGAAGGAAGGATCTCACTTAATTTGTTGACGAGTAATGTATGTGCAACGTGAAAGTCAACAAAGGACAGAAAGGAATGATGGAGACAGGCGCTGTACTGTAAATTTTCTTGCTTTATCTATTTTCACACTGTGCACATAATCATGAGATACCAACTGGTCCAGACCATACTGCTAAGACAGAAAAAGAAGTAATATATGGAAGGCCAGAACAATTCCCCTTTATGTTCACTAATTGCTGTATATTGTTCTTGATTGCTATGTTTTTAAGCCTTTTAAGCCTAAAACTTCATCAAGGGCCAAATCCTCTGACTGCTTAAAACGCGTGCAGCGATGTAGCTTTTTCCACGAGTTTCATTTTTTATTTGGTTTTAGAAATGTTCCAGTTCACAAGGCAAATAATTTTTTGTCTGCAGAATATAATCTGCAGGAAATTCTAATGTGCTGTAGGCTTTGTAAGATAACATCATTATTTCCTGGCATTTGAACATGACCCACTTCATTGGTAGCCGATTCAATGCAGTAGTACATGTGAAATGTTTGTGAAGTGTTGTTTGCCAGATTATCTCAAGTAGTGCTTATTAAGATTGTGTAACCTCATTTGTATATGCCTATAGCATTTTCCTAAACCCTATATTTTTGTTTTTACAGGGGATAAAACCAACAATCTCATTGGAGTGTCTGAGACTCTTGTGGCCACCTGTGCTACAGGCATCATGTTTGCATTGTTGTCCGGGCAACCACTGGTTATAATAGGTGTTACAGGACCAGTGCTATTATTTGATGAATTGTTATATTCAGTAAGTACAATAATATGCTATATATAAGCGACAATGTTCTAATTGTCACAACTAAAGTTTATTTGTGATGATTTGTAGTGTTTTGTTTTTGACAAATGTGTGCATTATTTGGTCTGTTTTCCAGTTTTGTCAAGAAAATGATGTGGAATTCCTTGCCATACGGGTCTGGATAGGAATGTGGATAGCTATACTGGCAACCTTGGTTGTTGCATTTGAGGGAAGTGCACTCGTTCGTTTCTTCACAAGGTTCACGCAAGAGATATTTGCATCACTCATCTCACTGTTGTATATATACGAATCATTTTATAAGTTATACTTGGTGAGTACTTAATTCATGATCTCATTGTTGGCAGTGTTGTGGGCATGTGTGCATGGGCACAGGCATACATACTCACTATTACAATAGCTAAAAAAATTATTTTTAATAGTGAGAAACAAGTGTGTAGTATGTCACAAAGTTTATTCAATATAATATTATATGGCTCTTCATTTTAGTGTAGTATTACAACACGACAAGCAGCCTGCAGTGCATACCTATTGGGAATGCCATACGGTCATTTATTGATTTATTTTAATAAAATGCTCTGGTGTAAGCTGCAAGCAGAACTTAGGAATCCGAGAAAAAACTGTGCATTTCGCAACAGTGTTATGGTAACACGCTTCTACTGACTTAAACACAGTCATAAGCAGTTTTCAGCTGTGATAAGACACTAAGCAAAAGTGTCTCGCTTTGTGAATGTTTTGCTGATAATTTGCTGGGTGACCCTGTTGTGTCTGCACAGCAGAGCAGGGTGTCTTGCCTGGCAAATCAAAAGATAGCAAGTGAACATTCTGACAGCTACCATAAAATTCAGAGATAGTGTACCCCCCCCCCCCCCCCCCCCCCCCCACATTGAAAGATTACCTACAAGATTTACGAGGAGAGACCCTTGCTATGTCGCAGATAAAAATTCAAGGTGGTACTAGAAGAGCTTCTAAGAATAAATAATGCATACCCTTGCTTCTAATGTAATGCTTTATTGAATATGCACTCATTAAATGGTTTTATTCACCACTGAAGGGTGAAAAAAATGGAAAATTGTTGGTTGGAAGGAGGGAGCTTGCGCGGTCATTGGTGCTTATTTCAAATCTTCTGAGAAAGGAAGGGTGGGTGCTTGTTCTGGTTTTTATGGTAGAGATTTGCATGATTTTGCCTCAGATATAACCAGACAGGATGTAGTGTAGAAAGTCACTGTAGTTGTCGGCACTGGCTTGATGTCACTATATATGTGGAGCCACCCATTGCATCCTGGCTATATGTCTGGCATGGACAAAAATTTTGGCTACTTGAGAACTTTAGCAAAAAGTAGTAAGTTTAGTTTGTTTAAATTTATTAAACCTCTGCTTAATGGGGTAAATGGCTGGTATGTCCAAAGGGCTAGCACAAATTGAAATAGAAGTTCTGAATTGGTACACGATGAAAATGACCATATCGCCGTCTTGGGCTTCGCGGCTTCTCTGCGTACTGGCCGCCATCTCGTTACGGCCAGAGACCACGCGACATCGAGAAATACCTCTCCCAGCAGCATGCACCACTGTCTGCCAGGCACCAGTCACGCTTGCCGTCACCGAGGCGATTTTCATCAACGCCCTAACTGTATTCTACTGCACGATCTCCCAGCCCCCGCCGGGAAAACTAGCCGAAGCGACCTCTGGGGGCGGGGTCGCTGAACGTCGAAGCACTGAAGACCTCCTATTGATGCAGAACTATACAGAATCTGGTCCGACATCACCTGCTGCTGCAATGGATAGCCGGCTTTCACTCGACATAGCAGTGACAATTGATGGTTGTGCAGTTAATGCGTTAGTGGACACCGGCGCAGACTATTTCATACTGAGCGGGAAACTGACAACGCAGCTGAAGAAAGTAATCATGCCGTGGCATAACTCGCAGATTGGGACAGCTGGTGGCCATGTCGTTACTCCACTGGGCGCCTGCACTACTAGAGTATAGATTCAAGGGTATACATTTGTAGCAAGCTGCCTTGTTCGACGTGAATGCTCCCGTGACATCATTCTGGGAGTTGACTTTCTACTGAAAAATCGAGCTATCGTTAATCTGCAAGAGCGCAACATCACGTTCCCAGCCCAGCGAGCAATCAACGTGCAGGATGACGGAAGGCGTGTCGACGTACTCCGTATTTTTGAACAGAGCGTGACGCATCCTCCATGAGAAAGTGTTCTAGTCGACATAACATGCTATGGTTTGAGCGATGGCAATGTGGGGGCCGAGACAAATTTAGAACACCTCATGCAGCAAGGCATGTGTGTAGCTAGAAGCGTAATACACCTTCGTGATGGCCAATCCGAAGTGCTCGTTACCAACTTTAGCAACGAGCATCGACACTTTTTTCGTGGCACTTCGATAGCGTTTGCCCACGAAGTAGCAAACGTCACCAACTGTCTCACGTCAGAACTAGTGGATACCGCAGACACGTCAATTAGTAATATTGACATCAATCCTGATCTGTCCACCGATAGCCAGACTGCGCTGCGAGGGCTCTTGTTCGAGTTCAGGTCTTGCTTTGCAAGTTGCTCAAAGATCCGCCAGACGTTCATCACTAAACACAGGATTATCACGTACGAGGATGCACGCCCGATAAACCAGCACCCCTACCGCATGTTGGCTAAAGAACGTGAAGCGATACGTATGCAAGTCCGTGAGATGCTTGACAATAGCATTATCGAACCATCCAACAGCTCGTGGTCATCTCCAGTCGTGCTTGTCAAAAAGAAGGACGAGTCGCTACGCTTCTGCGTCGTCTACCGAAAGCTTAACAATGTGACCAAAAAGGATGTGTACCCGCTGCCACGTATCGATGATTTGCTGGATATACTTCATTGTGCCCGTTATTTCACTTCTCTCGATCTCAAAAGTGGGTACTGGCAAATCGAGGTAGATCAGCGAGACCGCGAGAAAACAGCCTTCGTGACTCCAGACAGCCTATACCAGTTTCGAGTACTCCCTTTTGGCCTGTGTTCGGCGTCGGCAACTTTTCAGCGAATGATGGACACTGTCCTCACAGGGCTCAAGTGGCAGACTTGTCTTGTCTACCTTGATGATGTGGTGGTCTTCTCTGCCACGTTCGAGCAGCACCTTCACTGCCTGCACAGCGTGCTGGAGGCTATCCGATCTGTGGACCTCACACTAAAGCCACAGAAGTGCCACTTCGGCTATGAAGAACTCAAATTTTTTGGACATGTAGTTAGCGCCGAAGGAGTCCGGCCCAATCCGTACAAGCTTGCCGTTGTTGCCGAATTACCAGCTCCTGTCGACAAGAAAGTCGTCCGGCGCTTACTTGGTTTGTGCGCCTACTATCGCCGGTTCATTCGCGGTTTTTCAGATAGCAGAACCTCTGACTCGTCTCACGAGGGACGACATGCCGTTTGTTTGGGAAAACGATCAACAAGCCACTTTTGATGAACTGCGACAGCGCATGCAATCAGCGGCTGTTCTCGCTCATTTCGACGATGATGCTGACACGGAGGTCCATACTGACGCTAGTAACATTGGGCTCGGTGCAGTGCTCGTTCAGCGTCAAGAGGACATCGAAAGAGTGATAGCCTACGCCAGCCGCTCTCTATCCCGTGCCGAGGCGAATTATTCCACTACGGAGAAAGAGTACCTCGCAGTCGTGTGGGCAATCACTAAGTTTCGCCCGTACTTTTATGGTCGTCCCTTCAAGATAGTGACGGACCACCACGCCCTCTGTTGGTTGGCAAGCCTGCGCGACCCTTCAGAATGGCTAGCATGGTAAAGCTTGCGGCTGCAGGAGTTTGACGTCACCATTGTCCATAAGTCCAACCGTAAGCATGAAGACGCTGACACACTGTCACGTGCACCCCTTCATGTCATCAGTCAGGAAGTAGAGGAAGACGAAGGCTTCCTGGGCGCCATTAGCTCATCAGACTTGAGCAAATGGCAGCAAAATGACGCAGAGATTCGTCCAATCATCGATTATTTAGAGGGCCATGGCGCAATTATACCACGCCATTTATCCCGCTTGTTGATGTCGTTCTTCCTTCGAGATAGTGTGCTGTACAAGAAGAACGCTCGTTTGAACAACGGTGCTTCCCTCCTGGTGGTTCCTCGAGACATGCGAGACGACGTCCTTTTCGCTTGCCTTGACGAACCCACATCCTGTCATCTGGGCTACTCACGGACACTTGCCAGAGTGAACGAGAGGTACTATTGGCCAGGACTTTCGGCAAGCATCAAGAAGTATGTCAAGAGCTGTCAGGAATGTCAGCGCCGAAAGCAACCAACTGTTAAACCAGCTGGTTTGCTTCAGCCCATTGCACGTCGTTCGACCAAATCGACATGGACAGTCTTGGGCCATTTTCCCTGTCTGCGGACAGCAACAAATGGGTGTTCGTCGCGACCGACTATTTGACACGCTACGCTGAGACGCAGGCAATTCCACGAGCCACGGCTTCTGAGGTAGCACAATTTTACATGCGCCACATTGTGTTACGACACGGGGCTCCTTCTAGTATAATAATGAACAGAGGGATGGCATTCACAGTGCAGCTTAAAGACGAAGTTTTCAAACTGAGCGCCCCGCCACGGTGGTCTAGTGGCTAAGGTACTCGACTGCTGACCAGCAGGTCGCGAGATCAAATCCCGGCTGCGGCGGCTGCATTTCCGATGGAGGCGGAAATGTTGTAGGCCCGTGTACCCAGATTTGGGTGCACGTTAAAGAACCCCAGGTGGTCAAAATTTCCGGAGCCCTCCACTACGGCATCTCTCATAATCATATGGTGGTTTTGAGACGTTAAACCCTAAATATCAATCACGTAGCAATTATCAGATCTCATCACGATGGTGAACGTCAAATTTATTTATTTTTTACTTTTTATAGTAATGGACTATTCTACTGAAACTTTCAGCTGTTCTAATGATTGAAATGCCCTAATGAAGTGGCTTGGTATCATTACATCGAAGCATGCGGTCTATTAAAACAGTCTACTTTTTTTTCCCTTGTTGTCGAGACAATGTGTAAAAGATAGTTTACAAATTCAAACAAAATCTAGTGGTGTCATTGACTTACTTTGTGCTGTTGATGATATTGACTTACCTTTTTGCTCTTGATGATATCATTAGCCCAAAATAATTTGGTGAAGCACTTTGGCATTGGTCATCAAAAAAAATTGCATGATAGTTGGCAATGGCTTTGTAAACAAAGCTCGTGGAATTGTTGCATGCAGAGTGTACACCCCAGTCACTGTGTAGCAATAACTATAAAAGAAATAAATTATTGTACTATTGGTCTATGGGAAGGCCGAGTGCATACATCAGTTTGAGAATATAGTTTCAAGTATGTGCACGACAAGTAGAAGCTGAGGACCATTCTTAATTCTGATTACTTATCTAGGCCTAAGCTCTATGAGACTCCTCACAAAACATCTGGGAGGGTTTTCATTGGTTAATGTATCACAACTGCTGGCAACAGCATTGAAACTATTCTCGCTTTCAACAAGGTGCATGGCCCAATCGCAAGTGAACATTCTCAAGACTATTCGGCAAATGATCAAAATCCAACATAGTGATATGGTTGCATGAGATTGACTGCTGTAGACAGTTAATGGCTAATAGAGCCACAGTAGATATGACAAATTTTGTCTAAATGTTTGCTAGGGGTAGTTTGATTGATTGATATGTGAGGTTTAACGTCCCAAAACCACCCTATGATTATGAGAGACGTCGTAGTGGAGGGCTCCAGAAATTTCGACCACCTGGGGTTCTTTAACGTGCACCCAAATCTGAGAACACGGGCGTACAACATTTCCGCCTCTATCGGAAACGCAGCCGCCACAGCCGGGATTTGTTCCCGCGACCTGCGGGTCAGCAGCCGAATACCTTAGTCACTAGACCACCGTGGCGGGGCTGCTAGGGGTACTTTAACACAGCTACTTTTGTCATCAGGATAAATGTGCATTTGGCAGCCTGAAGTAGAACATGCCATTCTTGCAATGTTGCACCAATTTGTGCAGTATGGTGTTAGACATTTTGTAGAAAACGAAGTGAAATTGTTTGAAGTGATTTAAGCTGTGGCTTTTATTCGAGTATAGTTGTCACCTTTCTCAAATGCTTTTGATTGTCAAGCTGATTTACCTGTATTTTATGTCACCTTACTGCTTTAATCTTAAAGAAACAGATAAAATAAGGATACTGAAATTAAAAGTGCCCAGTGAGCTTAAAGGTTGTGGAGAGAACTAAAAAAGCAAATACATATGACTTTGAATTAGCAACTAAACATTTTATCATGTTATGATGCTGGAGAATTCGGCCACTGAGGCAGCAACTAAAAGGTTGAGCTCTTTTCGGCAGAACCTTTGCCCTAAAAACGAAGTAACGCACGTAATACAGAAGAGAGCAAGGAGCTTGGTTTGTTGGTCGTCGATAATCTGCTATGCTGGTGATGTGCATTGGCATTTATACATTCCAGTGTTATCACTGGAGCCCTCGTAAGTTTCAGAATGAATTAAACCACTTCTATCATTCGTGTTATCTGATTACAACATGTTAAAACTCAAGAAGGTTTCTCTACATCCAGGAATGCCCTATGCTCAGTGATAACATGTGTGAGAATTAGGCAGTAAAAGCCAGTCACAGTAAAAAGAAAAACAAGTTAATGTGTAAATATAGTGTATTATGCACACCCTGATGCATGGGCATAAAATGACGCAGTAGAACCAGATACGTGCATGTTGTACTGTAACATGCAATTGTATAGCACCGTGCACGTTGTGGCCAAGCTGTACGAAGACCTATACTACATCTGCAGAACATTAATTTCATGGTAATTTATTACAAAGGCCTCTTGATTTTTTCCTTACAGATCTTTGTTACTCACCCTCTCCTTAAAGCAAGTGACTACTGTGATAGCTCCGTTGATGCCTACCTTCCAAACAACATATCTGCTTCAAATTGGACTAACATGTCTACCGCAAGCTGGACTTCCATGTCTCCTGAAAACTGGAGTGATGTGCCCACTGCTAACTGGAGTCGAGAGGCCTATCTGGAATTTCAAACTACCGAACTAACTCGTCAGCCAAACACTGCACTGCTGTCATTGATATTGATGTTCTCTACATTCTTTTTGGCGGATTTTCTGAGGAAGTTTCGCAACAGCAGTTTTCTTGGGAGAAACGTAAGTGTTCTTACAAAGTGGGAAAAAGCTGTTTATTGAGGTAAACTCTAATTCTTTTTTTCTTTATTTTTCTTGCAGGCAAGAAGGGCTCTTGGAGACTTTGGTATTCCTATTGCCATTATTGCAATTGTTACTTTGGACTTTTTTGTTCCAAACACGTACTCTCAAGTAAGAATTGAAATTGTATCCTAATATTTACTAATTATTTACATTACGTTTTCAATTCTCAAGCGTGAGTTGCATTTTTCATTGTACAGTATGGTCCACTGTTAGGCAGAACACGCAAACGCGTTGCCGGTGACCCGCGTGATGCGAACTGGTGGCGAGATTCGTTAATGTCGCGCATGTGTATAATAGGGCAAAGGCGATGCTTGTCGGATTTCGTCTAGTACTCTCCGCCCCTGCGCTTGCTGAGCACTTTCGTTTTTCCGCGGCGCGATTCACGCCGCCGCCAGTCTGCCGCCTCCCTGTCAGGTAATCAGCAGGTACAAAAAAGGTGCAGCGTATTTCTCGCTGTGGTTTCTTAGCCCTTCTGATACAATGCGATTCACGCCCACTGCCACCGATTTTAATTAATGGTGATAAATAATGAAAAGCCATGCATTTAATTTACAAGCACATTAATAAATGCTTAATAATAATAATAATAAATGAAGGCATTTTCACCTGGCAGAACAGCGATATTGTTACGATGGGGCGTGTTTATTGAAGAGCGAATGGCGAAGAGTAGCCGCGCCGACACCGAGCTGCTTCCAAACAGACCACTTCGTTTTTCTCTTCATCTCTTCACACGTTGCCGCTTCAGCATAACACTCCTCCTTTCCCAGATGAAGCCCCATGGGCGAGCATCAGTCACGAGGATGAAAGTGCTTTAGGGGGGCGACGTGAACAAGCTGTCTCTGCCTAGAACGGTAGCTGCGAGATACAAGCCGAGCGATTGAATATGTCACATCACTTAGGCAATCAACAATGACAAAAGGACAGGTGTAACGAGCCAGGAACTTCTGGTACAGACCATGCTTTCGAAAGGGTGTCCGTAGCCATACTTCTTCTCCTTTTTCGTACGACACATTCTTGTCCTGTGAATCATAGGCGAACTTTGAGCGGTCTTGGGTTGCCAAAGTACGGAGCTGAGCTAGGTGACATGCTTCCTTTGCGCGGCAGGGAGTCTGGGTAATGGAAGAGTCCTCGTGCACATGAAAAGGCAGAATGGTGTCAAGAAAGTGGCGGGGTGGTCTGACATAAAGAAGATAAAATGGACTGTAGCCAGAGGTTTCGTGCGTTGCCATGTTATAAGCGTAGGTGATAAATGGGAAGATGTCATCCCAGTTCTTGTGCCTGAAGTCAATGTACATTGAAAGCATGTTGGTAAGTGGTGCGCTTGACGAGACCATTTGTCTGCGGGTGTCATGGGGCCGAGTGGCGAAACTGGCAAGCACAGAGACGCAAAAGTTCTTCTACAACATCGGCTACGAATTGTCGACCACGATCACTCGGAATAATCCGAGGCGGTCCATGGCACAGTATCACAGAAGAGAGGAGGAACCTCGATACATCGATGGACGTGGCTGTTGGTAGCGCTTTGGTTTCCACATAACAAGTCATGTGGTCAATGCAGACTATGATCCAACGGTTGTTGTTCAATGAGCGCAGAAATGGACCGAGAAGATCCACTCCAACCATTTCCAAAGAAGACGAGGGTGACATCAAGGGGTGGAGGAGACCAACCGGGATATTATTTGGTCGCTTGAATCGCTGGCATTTATCACAACTGGCCACATACTTTTCTGTATTGTGTCGCATGGTAGGCGAGTAGAAGCGAGCCAGCAGGCAGTGGTACGTTTTGGCGAACCCAAGGTGCCCTGCTGATGCGTTGTCGTGCATAGCATAGAGTACGTGTGTTCTCGAATTCTCAGGGACCACTAAAAAAAGGCGGGCATTATCAGCCACGTAATTTTTTTTGTAAAGTAAGCCATCTCGGACTATAAAGCCATGGCTACCTATCGGTTGAGCGGCTGAGTAAAGAGATCGTCCAAGCTGCAGTCGTTGCTCTGTGCTTCCCGGAAGGTAGCAAGGTCAGGAAAAGCAGCATCGTCGATGGCAGCTAGAAAATATTCAAAATTGTCGGCGTCACATAGAGTGGTTGGTAGGGGACGCCTCGAGAGACAGTCTGCGTCTGCATAATGGCGGCCACTCTTGTACAGTATTGTAAGGTTAAATTCATGCAAACGTAGCGCCCATTGCGCGAGGCAACCAGAAGGGTCACGGAGACCAACTAACCAACCAACCAACCAACATAGTGAATGGTGGTCAGTCATGATCGTGAACTGCCGCCCGTAGAGATATAGGCGGAACTTATGCACAGCAAAAACCACAGCGAGGCACTCTTGTTCAGTAACGGTGTAATTCTTCTCGGCCTTGCTCAATGAACGACTGACGTAGGTGATGACATGCTCGGCGTCATCGAAGTGCTGGATGAGCACTTCGATGACGCCGGCTACGAGATAGGACGTTCGGCTAGCGAGATAGGCCTTCGGTGCACGACCCCTTCAAGCCTCCCAGTACGCTACAGCGTAATAAACCCATTTATAAACGTAACAGAGTGGTGGAGGTACTGGGTAAAGCACGTCGGCGAACCACGGAGTAGCAGCTGTCTGAACTTCGCCGGAGCCGTCGTCTTGCCGGTCTGCCACCACCACCAACCGTCATGTCAGAGAGAGAAGGTCTTGGCTTCTCAACCATGCAAAGGTCAGTGCCGGCTGCACCTCGGTATCGCTATACGGAACCCCGCCCGTTCGCGGGAAGAGCAGGGGAAGATGTGGATGCGTGGTTGACACACTACAAAAGGGTGAGCCGGTACAACGGCTGGGATCCCACCGAACAACTGGGGACTATCGCGCTGTTTCTCACGGAAACCGCCTTGATGTGGTACAAAAACCACGAAGATTCATTAACAATGTGGGATCGTTTCTCCGAAGAACTCAAAAAATGCTTCGGCGACTCTGATGCGAAAAAGAAAAGCGCGGAGCGCACTTTGTCTCAAAGAGCGCAGACACCTGGAGAAACGTGTACCACCTACATAAAGGAGGTTCTGATGCTCTGCAAGATCATAGACCCGCATATGTCTGAAGAGGACATGGTCGGACACCTTCTGAAAGGTATAGCAGAGGACGTCTACAATTTCTTGATAGGCAGTGAATACCTCACTTCCATCTCCGTCGTCCAACGTCACTGCCATACTTTCGAGAAGCTGAAGACCCGTGGTATTGCCCTGAAACTTGGTAGGCTGGCAAATGTAACAACAGTCGCCAGCGTGGACGTAAGCCTGCCTGCCGACCTTGCCGCTACTATCAGGGCAATAGTGGGCGAAGAGCTACAGCGACAAGACACACTGGTCGGCGACACCATTCATCATCCGCCTACCTGTTCATCCTATTACCCGGCACCGTTCGCTCCTCTGCCACCATCGGTTTGTGTGACGGACTTTAGCGAAGCTGGAACTGCTTGGCCACGCCGAGACTCATTTGCGCCTGACCAGCGGTATGACCGGCGCCTTCGTACCGGCCTCGCTCCACAGAGGCGGGCAGTACCCGTTCAGCAAGCTGCTCCACTCCGTTCAGGTAGGCGACCTTTCACAGCGGAGCGCTCTCAGCAGTGGTTCGGCGAATGACCCCTACCCGTCTGCTACAACTGTGGCGTCGAAGGGCAGATTACCAGGTACTGCAACTACCGGCAGCCACCGAGGTATGCCCCGCCACGGCGATCTAGTGGCTAAGGTACTCGGCTGCTGACCCGCAGGTCGCGGGCTCAAATCCCGGCTGTGGCGGCTGCATTTACGATGGAGGCGGAAATGTTGTAGGCCCGTGTGCTCAGATTTGGGTGCACGTTAAAAAATCCCAGGTGGTCGAAATTTCCGGAGCCCTCCACTACGGCGTCTCTCATAATCATATGGTGGTTTTGGGACGTTAAACCCCACATATCAATCAAACCACCGAGGTACGACCGCTCACCAAGATCCCACCTGTCCGCACGAGCACCAACATTCCCTGGAAGCACATCTCACGAGATAAGGCCACTGCTAAACCATTCTCCGGCCTCTGACCGCAGTCTGACACTCCCGCCAGCCCCTCGTCCCAATCGGTTGCCGTCTCCTAGGCGCCGCTATCCTTCGCCGCCTCCGGAAAACTAGTCTGCACGACTGTTGGAGGTGAGGTTGCTGGGCAGTCATGGATTTCCCCAGAAATGCCTCCTTTAATTTGCATGTTTAAAAATAAGGTTCGTGTGCTGATTGATGGTGTCTCAACAATAGCCTTAGTGGACACAGGTGCAACCATATCAGTGATGAGTTTAGCATTCAAATCCCTTCTTGTATGAAAGGTTATGTTCCGTTACGACCGTGCTGATACATTTCATGGAGTGAGCGAAGATGTCTTACAACCTGTTGGTGTTTGCAGAGTGACTGTTAGTTTGGGTGGCCAGAATTTTATTGCTGATTTTGCTGTTCTCTTTCATTCAATGCATGATGTAATTCTAGGACTCAATTTCCTGAATCTTTATGGTGCCACTGTCGATTACCGCACAGGAGAGATCACAGTAGATTCAAATGTTCCAGTAGCATTTATGGAAAGCCCGCCCTGTATGGAAAGTACCCTTTGCGTGTCCATGGACACAATTGTACCACCCTTGTCTGCCAAGTGTGTTCCTGTCGTCAGTTCCCTGCAACCGAGACGACATTTGATGCCACCGTAGAGCCAATTCACCTCAGCTGCATAAAGAAGAATGTTCTAATACCCTATTGTACGCTGTCGGTTGTGCAAGGGCATACTGGTTTGTGGGTGATCGACGGCTCCAATGAACCTTCGGTACTGCCAGAAGGTCTACAACTTGCTAAGATCCGTCAACATCAGGTGTTCTCCCTTGCCATCCTTGCAGAGAACAGTGATTCTCCGGATAAGCCCGATTCCAATCATTTGCACGCCAGGGACACCTCCATAATGGCAATGATTGACAAGTCTCTTAGCACCAACGAGCGTAATGACATGGCGAGTATTCTGCGCAAACATGCTGGTCTTTTTGATTTCGCACAGCTACAGGCTCCACTGTCAATCCCTGTTTCTCGTGTAAAGCATCGCATAGATACGGCATACCATAGACCTCTCCGACAAAAG